AAATGGTTAAATGCACAGCCGTTTTTTACAGGAATTAAGGTCAATCTTGTGCCATTCAATATTGATGTCTTTAAACCGTTGATGACTAGCCGAGAAAAATATTTCTTGGCTCGTTTCTGTTAAATGTAGGGCCAGATATACAATTAGGGTTGAAAAAAAAAGAACTTTGACCAGACCAAAACAATGGCCTGATGGATTCTTTCTCAAGTATTTTTGTCTTAAAAAGTAATATCTGTTTTTTCCTGTTTCGAAAATATCTTCATTTCTGGAGGCAATAATTTTTTCACAGTAAATCTTTCATGAGTCACTGCAGATAAAAAGTTTTAAACTTCAATAGATGACTTTGATATTGTTCTCAAAAGTGCCTTGTTTTCTGAGTTCTTGAATTCTGTTGATAATTTTCACATGGATTTTCTATATTTAATAAAATTTATCATGTAATGGCTGTTTAGTAAAGGTTTGTGTTTTGCAGATTTTTTCAACATTGCCTGTTGATTCGAAACTTTGATATATTCTGTTTTTTAGGGGTTTTGCAATCTTATCGCTGTCCACACTCGATCTTGCATATAAAGAGACCACTCCCCGACACCTCACATATTTTAGACTGGTCTTCTGTCTGTGACATTCTGGTATTCGCACTAGTCATGAATATTTCGATTTGACAAGGCTATTTAAGAACATGACTCGAGTTTTCAGGTTTAGTTTTCTAGCAATTTGCAGTTTTGGGCGAAACTATCCCTAGCGCAGCCTATTCAGTGTTCAATGTCCGATATCATACTAAATCAGCTATACCAAGTTATTTGAAGTGTTTGGTATTAAGTAATTCCACATCTTTAATCTTTATGATGGATTCACTATACATGCGATCATTGTTTTCAATTCCAGATCATAGTTTCGAGGAAATCCGAAATACATAGGGAAATTGGAAAAACAAAGACAAATATAATAAATGGCCTACGTCATAAGTTCAATTTTGCAGTATTCTTAAACTCATTAATAAAAAAAAACTGCGATCGTTGGATCAGTGCTTAAAATTTTAAGACACTATTTTTAAAAATTCTGTTCGTTTGTCCAACGATGGCAATATCAATTTTCATTGAACAACTTAAAAGATCACTCCGAAAAAGAACACTTTACTTTGTTTCTAAAGTTTAGATTTGGCAGGCGAATTTCGCTATTCCAATGCATCATATTTTTTTCGTCTGTTATGACACTACAAAGACAGTTACATGTCTGCAATTTCTTTATTTTGATGTCCAAATCTTATAGGTTGCATCTTGTGCTGTCCTTGTTAACGACCATATGTCATGTTTCCAACAATCGTCCTACTTTCTTTTATTATCTTTTCTCGGAGTTCCATCAATTTTCCAGTGTCTGCCTTTAAAAGGGTGTCATCTGTGTATCATGTTTTGTTAAGATTCTACAGAACGACACGAAATTCTGTTAAGACTTCTAGTTGTTTTGTAAATGCCCCACTGTAAAGGTTAAATAAATACAACGAAAAAAAGGATCTTTGTCTTACGCACATATGTGTTTTTGTTTACTTGCTCAATATATTTTCTCAGTGTGTAAACGGCTTGACTCCTCTAAAATATTCTATTGTCCTTCCCAAGCACATAAATTCTTTTTATAAATTTAAAGGGATCTTTGTGCTTTGCCTATCCAGCAGCATTACTAAAATTAGAATATCGACAAGAATTCTGGAGTATTGAGTATTTGATAGGGAAATGAAAACGTAGATGATATTAATTTGAAATATAATTAAATTAAAAAGGCAAAATGACGAATTAAATGTTTGTCGAAAAGAAAAGGTTATATGAATAAAAATTTCTCATTTCAAATTCATCTAACAAAAATTTAGAGCAAAGTCTAACTTACTGCCTGACGATAGCAGAATTGGCAAAGCCGCGGTAGCGCAAAGGTTACTTTCGTGATTATTCTAGTGGATACTTGTATTTGAAATAAATGACATATTTTTATTTTTGCTTTAAATAGTATGCATTACGTCTATCGACCTGTGTACTCGAGAAATCCTAATAAAGAAAATGAACTCTCCAACATTTTCAAGGATTTCTTAAATACGCAGCCCGATAGACGTAACGGGGTGTCTATTTCAAATACAAGTATCCACTATAATAATAATAATAATAATAATAAAAAATGTCGGATTAAAAATAATTCTGGTCAGTTTCAACCGCATTTAATCTGAAAATTTCGTTTGTGATTTTCGGGGCACAAATACAAGTAGAGGAATAAAATTTAATAAAAAATATTGATTTAAAACTTGAAAAATTCGGGGGGGGGTTGAAATAGTCAAATTCCATCCATATTCGCTAATATAAATTTTCGCTCATTTAAACTGTTTTTTTTTTCACATTATACTGCATCATCCAGATTCACTAAATATCAGCGAACACGAATCCTTTCATTATCATTAATATTTGCTGTATTTGCTCACATATTACATGCACCATGGGATTCTTGGCACTTGCTAGTTCATATATACACTTTTAATATTTGTTATTTTATTATTTATGTAATTATTACAAGTAATCAAACGCTTTATAAATCCAAACTGTGATATCACAGGTTATATAACATTTTGTTCTGCAATAAAACGTCTTCTTAATATGAAAAAAGCGCTTTCTCTAGAGAAAATATTAAGATGCCATTTAAAAGCAATCTCTCAGTTATTGCAACAATTGTATATGTTCGGCTTTAAGGTTCTTTTTTCCTTATTTCAAAAGCCGTCAAATACTGCTTTTTTATTTAATTTTTGCATGGATTTTCGGCATCATTCATTCATTCTGCCTTTCTTTCGTGATAAATTTCTTTCTTTCTTCATAAATTTCTTTCTTTTTTCATAAATTTCTTTCCTTCTTCATAAATTTCTTTCTCCATAAATTTCTTTCTTTCTTTCTTCATAAATTTCTTTCTTTCTTTTTTCATAAATTTCTTTCTTTCTTCATGAATTTCATTTATTTCCGCCATTTTTACAAATAATTCGTTTTTTTTTCTTTTAAACATTTCTTTGTCCTTTACATGTGTTCTTTTATTATTTTTGTTCTTTTATCGTTAATGGTTTCTTTCCAGGCAAGTAAGATCATATCAGCTTCATTTTGTGGAAGTTTTTCATCTGTCAATCTTATTTTCATATATTACCTTTTTCAACAATTTACGCATGTTTATTTCCTAGCCGATCTTCTCCACTTAATTGCGATTTTAATACACAGTTATTGTTTCTTTTTTCTGTTTAGATTTTTATTTTATTTTTACGACTAATTTCAGATTTACATCCATTTTAACATTTTTTCTTTCTCAAGCCATGTTTCAACATTCCGTTCTTTTACCTGATAAAAAAAACAAACAAAAACATTTTAATTTATTTAAAAATGAAGTCTTCGTTACATTTTGCAACTTTTAAAAATTTATTCCACATTCTGAAAATACCACACTCAGTGATTTATGGTGTCTATTTTTTTACTCGCCTTTCTTCTTTCCTTTCTCACTAACCAGATAACATACATGTGACAGCAGATAACATCAGGAATCATTACATGTGACAGCAGATAACATCAGGAATCATTACATGTGACAGCAGATAACATCAGGAATCATTACATGTGACAGCAGATAACATCAGGAATCATTACATGTGACAGCAGATAACATCAGGAATCATTACATGTGACAGCAGATAACATCAGGAATCATACATGTGGAAGTCTTTCGTAATTTCCTGCCTAAACAAGAAATCCGCTAATCACTATTTCATTGTTAATGAGTAGATTCAATAGCCATTTTCTCAGGCAACCATCAGCTAGCCTCAGGCAAACCGAATTTGAATCATTCTTGGCGGTCAAACTAATGATTGGGGATTACAAATACGAAATGAAAGGCAGAGAACGTCTACTTAATGCGTTGGAGTATCTTAGCTATAAAGAATGCTGGTTTCCAAAAAAATCCGAAAATTACTATTACAAGGAAAACATTACCAGTACTAAAATACAGTATGTTTATGCGTGTTTATATACATTCACGAGTTCAAGAAGAAAAGCATCAGTTGCTTAGGCTGAATATTTTATGGTCGAAAAAAAATGACACTTATTGCTGAATAATCTTTGCGTGGGAGATTAGCTGAAAGATTTTCCAAATTATACAGATCCATCTGTTTTCATTCATGTCGATTTGATCATTAATCCTTAATGTTAATTAATCCCGTTATCATGACACATTTGCTTATACAAATTTTGGGTGCCTTTCTGATTAATAAAATGTCATTCAAGGATCCATCACAACGAATACTATTTATGTATTTAAACATTTATACATGAAAAATCTGAGAAGTCTGCAGGGGAAACATTGCAAGAGACTGCGAGGTAGGCAGGTCGCTTATGAAATCACAAAAGCCTAAGAGGGATAAAGCAAGGAAGAATCAACAATGGTGAAGCAGGAACAATTGAAGATTCTGGAAGACTGTCGTTTGCCAATCGAGTTCCCATTGTGAAGCCCCACTGATGCATTGACTCGTCGTCTGTTTTTCTCTTTTACTTCATTGTGTTTTTCCTTGTATTTACATCGAAGAGAGAAAAGAAAGACACAAGAGGATTTGAGACGACGAGGTTTTTTTTTATCATATTGTTCGATACTGCAACACAGGACAGGCATTTCTGCACTTGATGATAAACGGAATATACGCATGAAAGTGCATTCATGGTTTTATGCATGTAAATCTCCTCCCTTTTTCTCTCTCTCTCTCTCACGATATATATATATATATATATATATATATATATATATATATATATATATATATATATATATATATATATGTGTGTGTGTGTGTGTGTGTGTGTGTGTGTGTAGGTAGGTAGGATTTTCTATATCCATATGGAAAGTAATCAGTATTATAGATACAGCGTTTGTAAATATAGAGAGTGTGGACACAGAAATCCAAACTGTATGGTGACTGCCAGTTTCACACCTGAATCAATCAACAGATTTCTATGTCTATTTCAATATCTATCTATCTATCTATCTATCTATCTATCTATCTATCTATCTATCTATCACAATCATTTAATATCTATCATCATCTGGCAATATCTATCTAACTGTGTGCAATAATTATGATATGTAAATTTCTATGTATCAGAAAAACTTATACATAACGCGTTTCGTACTCTAATAGGACTTCATCAGAATAAATTAATGGTTTTGTTAGAATTATATATTTTCAGTGGGTAGGGGTAGATATAAAAATAACGTGCTTATAATTATGCTCTAATAAGAAACTCTAAAGCTGTTGGAACACTAGAATGTTTCTTAGTCTTGAAAATTATTTTAGTGATACTACTCTATGTGTGGTCTACATTTTTCATCGTATTTTTAAATATTCACATCTTTCTGAGTCTGTTCCAAGTACCTCAAAAATGTATCATGTATTGTTCACCTTCCTATTTCCCAAATTGTTAACTTCTTTTCGAAGATCTAGTTTCTTCTGCGGCGCTTCACATTTTGTTAGAACCGTAAAATTTACGATATGTCGACTTGTTCTGAATCAGCTGGCAAAAATTAGTTGTCACATGTCGATTTCAAAGCCACATAGAATTTGACTTCAGATCAAATTTTATGCGACAAATTTTATTTGAGCGTTACGTTGTATTATTATACCACTGATATTAAATACTAAAAGTTATACATGTATCAGAATCCTGTTAAAATAAAACCCAGATGTGGTATAAACCGGAATAGATATTGTACTCAAATTTTTCACCAGGCCGTTTAAAGCCAGGTACTGGGTTAACCTTAATTTACTCTCGACCGCCAAATACGAGAAATACGTGGTCTCGCACCAGCTTCGTTATCGGGAATGTTAATACATGTTTATAGATAACCTGCCCCAGGCACAATTGGGTAGTTCCTCACACACGGCAAATGGCGAATGTAGGGTCTACGTATTGAACAAGCGTGCGGAGACGCGTACAACTGATTGGCTGAGAGTTGTCACAAAATATTAGAGTTGATTAAACTATTAAGTAATTAAGATTCAACTTTATTGCTATCCTTTAATCGACTTCATTACAAAAATAATTAGCGCCAGATTTGAGCAAGATGGATAATATTTTATTAAAGTTATGAAATCATATCAGTGGTAAAAATCCAGTATTACTGTGATTTTGTCTAAAAGTGTTACTTTAAGTAAAATCCCAAATGAAATCAAGCTTAATATTTCAGAATACATTATATTCTTTTGTGAAAATGTCGGAAATTCTCAATTCCACCAATGTTGCCATTTGCGAGATCAACATTGAATCATCTACTTTATTTTTTAAGGTAAATGTAAGATTAAAAAAATATTTCTTTAATATTAATCGCTTACCTTTGCTTACCAGACTTTGCATTATGGCTCTTTATGTCTTCCATATGTTTTGATAGACATTTGAACCACCTGATCTTAAATTTAAAAATCTTGATAAACCAATGGCATCTTTGCTCTTTTATATAAACACGTGTAAGGAAATAAATCCTACTTTGCCTTAAGTCAGAGAACAAAATGCGTAGGCTAAAAATAGTTTTTCTTCTTGTCTTTTTATTCGTATATATATATATATATATATATATATATATATATATATATATATATATATATACATGCACATATATACATATATATATATATATATATATATATATATATATACGTGCACATATATACATATGTACGTGTGCATATATGTTACATAACCTCACGTATGAGTACGAAGTAGAGAACGTTCATAACCATAAATACTTTTAAAATGTGCATGTCTAAAACAAGGCTACAAGAGGCGTGAATGAAGTAGCTAATAAAGATAGTGCAAACGTTTAGGAAGCTGTGAATAAAGCGTTCATTTCATCTTGCAGCGAACAGCAAACTGAAAACATCTTATGACATGCGCATTTTGCCTCAGACGGCAACATCGCAAGCCAAATAGACTTTATTATGTAAAAAAGGGTTTCTTCGTCTTTGCAAACAGAGGTCATTTCCCAGCACGTATACTTTTTATCAAGATCATTGAGATTGAAGTATCAGTAATCACACACACACACACACACACACACACACACACACACACACACACACACACACACACACACACACGAGCGCGTGTATGTTTGTCGAAATTAAATTTATTACAAACGTTGTTATTATTAATGCATAATTTATTAGGGACGATCAAAATTACTAGCAATAGTTTGAAATTATTGCTACTTGCATTTTGTCCATGGAATCATGAAACATAGGTCTGTACTAGTATATATATATATATATATATATATATATATATATATATATATATATATATATATTAAATATATGTCTCTTAAACAGCTCACGCAAGCCTAATTATTGCTGTTAGCATTTTTGAGCCAATGCCAGTGCAAGAAAGAACATTTTTGTTAGAAATTAAGTATGGCTTCAATCTTCAGTTATTTACCAAAAACCTTTCAAAACATTGTTAGAATCTATTACAGGTGATTATTAGATTATCTTTATACGACAATTATGTACGAAGCTTGATAAAAAATTATCGGGACCATAAACATGTATTGAACTCACAAATTTTTGATTCCTCTCACTGGATCTAATCAACGACTTTATCCTTAAGGACACATGCCACAGTGAAGACAGCTGTCTTCATATGCATTATCTAAATTATATATAATTGGTTCAATCGTCTGAATAATGTAAATAGTGTACATAATACCTCATCTCAGAAATATATATATATTTAAAAAAATTTGAAAATTTAGCGTTGCGTCTTTGCGCGTTCCACGATCTTACACACCCATCAACAATAGCAGATATTCAAAAAACATCTTTCGGTCGACATACAGATATATCGTCTCAAGTTTTTGATTTTATAAGATAAACAACACATGCCTGATGATGGATGGAAGGCCGTCCGTAAGTACTAGCATTTTAACATCAAATAAACTGAAAAACTACAGACAACAAGTTTTTCTTCAAGGATCAAAACTCGCACTCTGGGTGAACAGGATTTTAATGCATATATTATGTTTTCTAGCGATGGATGTCGCCAATAATCGCATTAATACTTCTGATTAATTCTATGTGTGATTATATATATATATATAGTGTGTTTCAAAAATGTATACACACTAACTCTAACCCTGCAACAGTCTGTCATGCTAGAGAAGTTTCAGGAGATAAAGAATTTTATTTTCTGCAAGATGGAGCACCACCACATCATCATCGTGATGTACGATCGTATGTGAATGAAATTTTGCCAACAGATGGATCGGAAGATGATCATCTGTAGAATATCCTCCTCGTTCACCGCTCCTCACCAGTTTTGGACTAATTTTTTGTAAGGATACTTAAAATATAAAATCTACGCTACAAATTCAGCAACAATAACAGAAATTAAAGTTTCCATCGAATAAGAACGCAGACATATACCTATCGAAATGTTGACTGCTGCTTGTGATTCCAGTGCGTCGCGTTGTCACCACTGGCTGGAATATTCATTTTAGAAGATGATATGACAAAATCTTAAGAGTATGCATTTATAATAAGTGATGTCTTCATATGCATTATTTAAATTACATATAATTGGCTCTAGTTGCTTGAATTATTTCTTGAAATAGTTTCAAAATATGCACACATATTTTCAGACACCTTGCATATGTGTGTGTAACTACTGAATACTTTCGAATTTTATAAACCATTCTCAGAGCATTTTTGGTGTTTTCCTCTCATTTCAGATAACGCTTCTGTGTATCTTCACGTGACAGTTCGTATTATGTTTTTTTTAATATATATATATATATATATATATATATATATATATATATATATATATATATATATACACTGCAACTGAAAGCTTGAAACTACCCTCAGAATGATGTGATAAATTTGACAGAAGAGTGAAAAAAAAAATGAAAATGACTTCTTAGAGTCATTGAAAAAAGAAATGAAGCAATTCTAAAACTTATACTTTGAGAAACGTTTGCAACGAATGCCAAATATTTGTGCTGCATTAATCTAAAGGAGGATATTTTGACAAGATAAAAATTTAATCATAAATTCTTTCTTCTTTTGTCTTAATAGAATTTGTAATAAAAAACCATGGCTCACTTTTTAACCATATATAATAATTTTTTTTTTTAAAGTACAAAGCAACTACATTTTGAGCCAATTTAAAAAAAGTAACAATGATTACCTCAAAATTTGATCTGTGTGTGTGTATATATATATATATATATATATATATATATATATATATATATATATATATTGAAAATTCTATGCAATCCATTCCGTCTTCTAAATGGTCTTCATCAGACTAAAGTGTTGTTCTTATGAAGGGGCGCGATATAAATATAAATATTGCAATTGGATCATTCCCTTATCCGACATTGTTCGAATAGTTAGAAAGTCATATATAATATTTTCATATATAGATATTAATTATATTAACAGGAGATTAATACAGAACTATATTACACCCAAATTAATCTTAAAAATAGAAAAATAAACCATATTTGGTTCAACGCAGAATTTATCATCACGAATATCGACATTTCGATAGGGCTTTTACGAATGAATATTACTATCCAGCATTTAAAGGAAGAATTTGATCAGTTTCACTGCGAAACCCAGAGAATGAATGCAACCATTTGCTAACATGATATTTCATACGACGATGATATCCTTGGGGATATCTCAGTCAAAGGAAGCTAAGAATAATACAGAAGAGACGTAGTTTTCTACGAGAATTCTTAATAATTAATTAAAATCCATTTCTGCTGTGTATGTTGAAATTGAAGGCATCATTCTACTGTAAGACTCTCTTGGTGTTGAAGAAAAACAGGCAGGCACAAAATGAATACTGTTCGATATATAAATCGGCAGAGAGATAGAATAAAACTAAAATAGAGAAATAAATAGAAACAGTTTGAAATCAATGGAGGATTCAATAAGAGAAGAATATATTTTTACTCAAATTGTCTCGCAGTAAATATCAGTGCAAATATATGCATACGGAGAGAAAATGTAAAGACACACACACACGCGCACATATATGTATCTTATGTCTCTACC